ATCTGTACCCATCTGCAATCGAAAAAACATAAACAACAAAAAATATCACATTTAAGTGTAGTCGAAATGCATCGAAAGAACGTCGAATAGTCGAGACCAATCGAAATAACGTCGAATATTCGTAAATGTTCGTATGGTTTCGCAGACTATGTTCGAATAGGGTTTATTTCGGAGTAGGGTTTATTTCTATCTTAGAAATGTAGGGTTTACCATAAGATATGTAGAATCATAACACAATTGGCTCAATTAGAATCATAACTCTTTAGTGTAAAGAAAAATTAGGGTTTGTAATCAAATTTTGGGTATTGAAAATTAGGGTTTACCGTAATCTCTTTCTGCTCTTTTTCCTTCTTCTGCGCTACGCAATAGCGAAGAAGAAAGGATGTTTAGGAGAGCTAAACAAAAAAAATCATAACTCTTTAGTGTAAAGAAAAATTAGGGTTTGTAAAGAAAAATTAGGGTTTGTATCGAAAATTAGGGTTTACCGTAACTCTTTCTGCTCTTTTTCCTCCTTCAGCGCTACGCAATAGCTTCTAAACGCGTTCCCAAATCTTATCGTTTTGCTGTGCTTTCAAATTAGGTTGCCGATTTGCTGAACAAATGTGTAGTGTGCGTACGATTGAGGAGCTGAAAAGCATGAAATCGTTAATTTCGGGTCGGGTCAAGAAAGGGGGAAAACTGAAATAGTTAATTTCGGGGCGGGTCAAAAAAGGGGGGAAATCGTTAAACGGCTGTGGAACGTAATTAGATTCTTTCGACAATAGCTTTCGAAGAATAGGGGTAATTTGGGAATCTCACATGCTAATTTTTCGTGCTTTTTAGTGATGGTAGATAGAGGGTAGTCTCATAATATCAAACCTTTTTTGGACATTTTTATAAGAGAAACCTTTTTTTAGGGCACTCTTATAAAGCGGCCGTTAGACACTATCATATCTTATTTTAGGTTTTTGATGAAAAATGTTCACATTTAATGTTATCTTTTAATTGTGTTTCTGATCAATTTGACCAAAGGGCTGTTATTTTGGCGGCTCATACGTTAGCTAGAAGTGCCGATATACTCATTTCAATCTTGATTTAATAATGTAGTCGTTTTGGGTTCCAAAAAATATACTCTGTACTTATTATATTAGAACGATTTATTTTACTATTAGTACGACATCTACTGTGACTAGCATGTTTCTTCTTCTACATCTTCAATATGTTACTCAATTTATTTTTTATTTTGTACTACCTCCGTCCCACTCTCTTTGTCCACATTTGACTTTTGGAATTGTTCATCTAAACACATTGACTCATCAAATTCTCTCAATGTGTAAGCCTAAATATAGTCATGTGTGATCTTATTTGATTTGTCTTAACATATAGATTATTAATATATAATTTCTATAATTTTTTAATATACAAATTACAAGATAAAATGGATTAAAGAAGTGCATTGGATGGTGTGCCAAAAGGTAAGTGGACAAAGAGAGTGAGACGGAGGGAGTATTATAAACTGATAAATTAATAATTACTCCCTCCGTTTGGAAAAACTCTTCCCACTTTGATTTGGGGGCGAAAATAAGGAAGTGTTAAATTATAGTTGATTTTCAATTTTGCCTCTGATGTGATGGGTAAAAGTAAGATATGATGGATAGATTATTAGAGAAAAAGTATGATGTGATAGGTAGGGTATGAAAAAGTAAGGGTAAAAGTGGTTTTTTAATAGAAAGGCGAAGTGTTTTGTTGCAAGTGGAAAAAATGAAAAAGGAAGTGTTTTTGAAAACGGAGAGAGTATAATATACATATGATCATCACAATATAAAAAAATTAAAATTATTATTTAATTATAACTTTAATTTGAATTACATCATATTTGATCCATTTAGATTAGATTGAATCATAATAATCAGATCATATCAGATTCATTTGACAGAATCGGATTCAATAGGATTAGATGATACTATACCCAATCAAATTCAATTGGACCAGATTATTAGATCTGAACGAATCTTTAATAAAATTAGCACTCAAATAAATGGAACCAGCCTAAGACCCACTTCTTTTATTTCATTGATTTGCTTAGTTCGTGATAAGTATTTTAAGGATAAAGCTATTTATACCCTCAAGGGTTTGTACCCCATTTGTACACTGCAGGTGTGCACCAACATTTTTGTGTTGGTATAATGCTAATTTTTGTGAATGCGTATAAATTTTTATTAACGCATTAACACTTTGTGTCAGTGTGAACCATTAAAATGTTAGTGTATATCTTAGGTGTAAATTTGGGGTACAATTTTTGGTGTTAGTTTAGCATGGTCCCTATTTTAAACACCGTTTCCATCGAATGAGGTGGTTGGCTCATTGCCATGTGCGTTCAAAGTATTATTGTATGTGGACTATATTTTTTGGTAGGTAAAAATATAGTTGATGATAGAGAAAATTGTTAGGAATTAGAAAGAAACTAGGAAAAGTTAAAAAAGAATATAAGAAATTTAAAAAAATCAAAAAAATGAAAGGTACTTAAGAAGACATTATAATTTTGAAATTTCATATTTTTATTTAAATAATTATATTACATTCATTTATGTTATGTTTCTATTTTATGTGTTTCTACACCATATTTTTTCTGTTTCAAATTGTATTTAATACTCCGTAATTAATATTCTTCTTAGCTCTTAATCACTAATACTTTTTCTTATGCTCTTTTACATCAATAAAATTTTTATCATTATTTGTTATGTGATTTGTAGATTCGTATCTTGGTGTAGCAACCCGAAAATTGGCACAGTGGTTGTAGCCATGGCAGTCTCATCTTTTTATTTCCCTCTGGAAAAATAATTCTGAGCCTCTCTATATTGTATATATATCATTTAATTAAATTTGAATAAAATCTGGATTATATTTTCATATAAGGTACCCGTAAAACTAGTCGATAAAATATGTTATGCTAAATATCATTGAGCCTTTTAGTGGTGATAAAAAATCTAAGGATCAGATTTCACTTGGGAGGAATTTGGACAGTGGAGATATTCAGTGGTCATATATGAATTTGTGTAGGAAGTTCCAAGAAATTTTTTCAGTGGAACTTTATGTGAGGATGGGTTTGAAGTTGGGCAAGAGTGGATTATTGATACATCTGTTTTTTTGGCCATTTGTGAATGTAAATGTTGCTGGATGGATACAGATTGCATGGATTACTGCCACGTGTACAAAAATTTTTATAACCCTAGGATTGTTAAATTTTGGATGGAAAATTGGAAAATTGAGCAGAAATTGGAAAAAGTTTTCACTTTTTACTTTTCTGTAGGAGTAAGCCACTGCACGCATGTAATTTTTCTCCTAATTTACACTTCACTTCAGATTTGCCTTCTTTATGAGGAGTAACTTTGAATTGTGGAAACGACAAAGAGGAAAAAAGAAGGGAACTTATGGGTTGCCAGGTTGGGGATGGTTGGGGCGAATCAGGACGGAGGAGTTGGTATATGGTATATCCGGATGTACCTAGAAATAGGTACATCCCGGTAGTACTCATTCTGAAATAAAGTAGTACTCATTCTCGTACATGATGGGTATATCCTTATACCCGACTCGGATAACCGAAAGGGACAGGTCAAAATATGACCGGTCACTTTTATCAGTCACCAAATGATGTTAACCCTTCAATTGGGACGGGTCAAATATTGACCGGTCACTTCCACTAAAAAAGTGACCGGTCACATTTTGGGCGATAACCGAAATGTCACCTAATGTTGTGAAGAACCCAGAAGACCAAAATGATCGGTCAACCTTTGAGAAAAGGTGACCGGTCATATCATCTCACTTTACAAAGATTGATCCAGTATCTCAGGCATGGTGAACCACGTCAAAGATGGAGGGACCACCCCGCCGTTCGCCCATCACGAGACAAACAGTGTAGGGATGTTTGTCACCTTGCAGGGCTGATTGGATTGAGAATATCCATGTTATAGTCCTTGATTGAACAGTGCTCCTTGGTTGTATTAGTAGCAAGTCTATGATTGAACAGTGATTAGATTATGTACAGTGGTCTTCCTCCTGGTTTCCTATCTTGTCCATGAGTGAACAAGGGAAGGTCACAAATCCTCCTTTATAAATATGATGATATTGCATAGAGGAGGGGATCCATTCTTTCTCTCACTAAAACTAGTGCACTCTTGAGACAAGGTAAGAAATATATTTCGGACTGAGGAGATTTACCCGGTCTAAGTCATACTTTGTGTTCTTGTTGTGTGTTTTATATTACGGGTCGAGTGTCCAGGTCAAACCCGGTGAACCCACCCATCTATATTTACACCATCATTTTTGGCGCCACCCGTGGGATCGATTTTTAAAGTTTTTTCGACCAGGTCAAAAATTTACCCCCACTAAATATCCACGATCATGTCTTCAAGCAACCACAACACTATGTCAAGCCAGGCTGTGAGTGAAAGCACTCCTGCCATCCCACTGATGATGACAAGCATGGGGACGACCTTTGCCCCAATCACCACTGTAGGATCGATTGGCATGATCCCGATCATGTCAACCCCTACTCCTACGCCAATGAAAACAATGTTCCCAGGCTCGATAACAACGCCTGGTGGAGCATTCACACCATATCCGTCAGCTTGGGCTCAGTTTACTGCTGACCCGGCAAATGCGCAGGCTCTACAGGGCTATCATCAGGTGATGGCCATGATCCAACAAGCAGGGGGCTTCATGCCATTTGCCTATCCTGGTATGACTCCACCAATCATGCCGCCTCCGGTGTCGACCCCGTCGACATTTGTCCCTAGGATGGTCCCTATACGCCCGGTGAATTTAACGGGGACCATGAATGAAGCAGCACCTTCAAATGTCCACGAGGTCGACGAGGCGGAGCAAGAGGCAGCCCGCAGGAGGAAGGGTAAGGCTATAGCCAAACCCAGCAAGACCCGAGATTCGACGTTCAAACGCCTAGGAGACAAAGAGGATGGGCCCCGCAAGTCTGCCAAGCTACGTCTTGGTACTGAGATGGGCCAGACTAGCGCAATGGAAAGACTTGGTGGGAATCGTCCTACCCAATCACGGTGTTCTAAGGAATCTGAGACGATTCACCTCGACGAGGAAGAAGCCGAAAGCCAGCCCAGGGCATCAGCGTATACCAGGCTCCCATACGATGAGGATGATCTGGACAAGATAGGGAGCGTGGCAAGAAAGCTACGTGCCCTGGAGGAAAAAGTGGAAGAGAAGGCGGGAACAAAGAAGTATACCCTGGCCAAATCTCCCTTTTCAGCCAGGGTACATGCGCAAAACTGAGGCGGAAGATCAAGCTGGACGTGGAGAAGTTCACTGGAAAGGAGGATCCGAATGTTCACCTTGATACCTTCCACAATGCAGCACAGATGGCCGGGTGCACTGATGCTGAGGAGTGTCTACTCTTCTTCTCATCCTTGAGAGGGAGACCGGTGGAATGGTTTAACGTCCTTCCCCATGGCAGGATTGGGTCCTTTGAGAAACTTGCCGAGGTTTTCCGCAAGAAGTACCAGGACAACTGCATAAAGAGAAAGAAGTTCACCTACCTACACACGGTAGGACAAAGGGAAAAGGAGTCCTTGACTCAATTCTTGACGCGCTGGAGGGATGAGGTCGATAAAGTAGAATAGATGGACGATAAGACGGCCATGTCTTTGCTGATGAATGCCTTCCGGTCGGGTGACCTCTACACCGAATTTTGTAGAAGGCCACCCTCCTCTTATCAGGAAGCCTATAATACAGCATGGGAGTATCCCAAGGCGAAGGTCTTGAACAAGAGCAAGCAGGAGCTGGAGGAAGGCTATACAAAAGTGAAAGCCGAGAAGCCGAAGAAGGATGACCAGACAGGAGGGTCTAAGCCAAGGGCCACATATGACGGGTTAGTCCACCAAATTAGGGATGAGAGGAAGGGAGAACAACCCAAGCGGCCTTGGACAGAGAAGTGGTGTACCTACCACCAATCTGACTCCCAAAACACGGCGGACTGCCGAAACGTCAGGGCTGTGCTCAAAGAGATGATCTTGAGAGGGGAATTGGATGAAGTACTCGTTACGGGGCTTGAAAAAGACCCATAGGCGAGTACTTGAATCCGCCCACATGAATAGGATCAGGGAAATCAAAGAGGATGGCCAAAATGTGGTCAAGATTACTAAGCTTGCTTTAGACGGATAAGTCTTGATGTCTAGGACCTGGACCGTTGCATGGTCTGATAACAAAAAAAAAAATAAAAAAAAAACTCTTGAGATAGGGGCCTTGATGTTGAGGTATTGCCTTGAGATAGGCTGGATCTTGAAGAGGATTCGTATCCATACTTACATGGATCCCTACCGACTTTTTGGTTGGGAAGGGTTAGAAAAGATGCCAAAAAAAAATTACCGTCTTGTATGAGCCATCCTTTGTGGATCGGAATGTCTAGGGAAGACTAGAATTTCCGAACACATAATATATGGACGTGCAGGATTGGATGAGGGCTGGTTCTCACCGGCATACCCCCATGTGGGAAGATTAGGTTGGCTAGGTCAACCTAATGATTGAAGAATGGCACATTAAAAGACTTAAAACCTGGAAGTGGGGCCCTGGAAGAAGGGTGTTGCCTGGAAGAGGGCTGAACCTTGGAGAGGGTTCGCAATCATAGGACATGGTCAAAATCTCCGAAGAAAGTTCGGGTCTTGATGTTGAGACTTGATGATTCCAAAACCGTTTCGGAGCATTCGATCGAAGTTTGATCAAGGTCAGGGTTGAACACGACAGACAGGCCAGATGGAATACGAAAAGGGCATGGTCAAAAGTGACCGGTCACTTTCTGCTTTCTAGATTGGCAAGATAAAGTGAATGGGAAAAATTAAAATTTGACCGGTCAAATATGAATGGTCACTTTTTAGCCGGTTGGATTTGAGGAAATCAGATAAATCAGGAAAACTTTGATTTTGACCGGTCACATTTTTGACCCGGCACCTAGGCAGAAAATTTGACGTCATGATTGGTTACGTAGTGCAACCAAGCCATTGGAAGTTGATCAGAACAAATTCAACCTAGACGATTGTCACATTCCAACCTGAAAGTTAACTGGGTTAGAAGACAAGTCAAAAACAAGGTGACCTAGATGTTTTCAACTCTAGAGACCGGGACATAAGATGACCTGGAAGTATTCAAGCCTTGCATCTAAGATGCTCTTCAAAACTTCTAACCTAGCCTATCAACCAGGACATGAGATGACCTGGACATTTGTTGCAGCTCAACCTAGCATCAACCTAGCAGTAAGCCAGTCCAGAAGACTAGTCAAGCATGAGGTGCCCTGGACGTTTCTTGGAGAATGAGAATAAAGGTTTAGACCTGGTCGTTTCAAGGGGTTGCTAAACCTGGACACCTTCAAAACCAATCTAACCAGGACATGAGATGACCTAGACGTTCTTAAAATGTTTCTTATGGGCATGAAATGACCTGGACGTTTTCAAGACTTGCACTTGACCAGGATATGAGATGACCT